TGGTGCATTCACAATGTATTGCATTTCTTTTGTTATTTACTAGAAAGCTTACGACTCATTACAAAGTTGCAACCCTTAAAAACCATCCCTTATAATAAAATAAACAAAAAAATATTATTGAAAGCTTGAAATGTTTTAATGGTATGCATATGTTGAATAATAAACTTATTATTGGTTTTCAAATGGTCTATGATATATTGCAACTTTTCAGTCACCCAAAAAATCCTTATGGAAGACCTACCCTTTATAAAAAACCCTACCCCTTATAGAATAATTTCCTAAAAATTATATGTGAGTATGATGATATAATTAAATTTTTTCAAATTTATTGAATTTATTCTTAATATTTATTATTTTTATATACATTATAAATGGATGTATTGTACAAAATGTTTTAAAAATGGTCCGTTATTTTTTACATGTATATATCATAAAATATTTAATTTTCATCACTATCATCACTAGAGCCTCGCACAGGTCCAAAATTTGAGGATAATTGTTACAATTATCGCCAGAACATGAACCACACATGGTATTGCAAAAAAGTCCAACTTTTCTGCAACCACAAGTTGCGCAGCATCCTTCTTGCAATTGCAAAATATCATTCTAAGTAGTTCATCCGGTGCAGGCTTTTTTCGCATTTTTATTGGTTGCAATGTGTGTGTATGGTATATTATTAAAATACTTACTCAAATCAGGTATAAGTGCTCCAAAATACACAAAGATGATGGTAATTTACCCGCTCCGAAAATTTTACCGAAAAAATGCGATTCATTTTTTTACCATAACTTTTGTAATTTTAAAGTTATAAATTTACTCAAAAAACCATTTTGTAGGGAATTTAAAGCACTTTAAGTTCTACGATTTGCAGCTTTTTTGAGCCCTTCGTTTTTTAGATTTGTAAGCTAAAAGGGCTCAGAAAAGGCAGTCTTGGAGCTTAGTTTTGAGCTTCTAACGGTCATAACTCAGTCAAATTTTGTCCTACAAAAATTTAAAAAAGCAAATTGTTCAGTAAGAAAAAGCTTACAATTTCTTATTCTATCATTTTTTTTCATAACTTTGTTAAATTTTGAAATATTTTGAAAAAAGGCGATTTAAAATAAAAATAAAAAATTTTATTCAAGCGTAAATGAAATATTTTTTTTAATTTAGGCGTCTAAAATCGTTCAAATTCCCAGAATCTACTGTTAATACATAAATAAAGTAAATTGCAGAAGGAATACGTTTAATTTTTTGTTTCCGTCAAGTCATTAATTTTAATACTGATTTTTTTTTCTCAAAAATCAAGACAATCATTTTATTTTGATTGTAACTGCATTAGTTTTCATGCTATCGACTTTTACCACCACTCAATTTAAAGGTCTTTTCAAGAATAAGTGTTATATAAGTATTCCTTGAAAAACCTAATTTTTCCGCTACAGAGGACGTTGAACGTTTCGATTATAGCTATCTTCGAAATTGACTTCAACTTCTGGGAGTTATAACTAGGGTTCTATACCACTTACAAAAATTAAGAAGCAATCTCTTTGCTATTTAATTACCTTTGCTTATGATCATTTTCTTGATAACACTTGTAGTTTTTGAGATATTCGTGAAAAATGGCTCAAAAACATGCATTTTTCGGGTTAAAAATGAACATGTTTAAACGCAAATAACTCAAAAAGTATTGACTGTACAAAAAATTTTTATAGAAAATTTTTTGCTTAGAATTCGTCCCTCTATCGAATCGTTCCCACCCCCCAGAAGGGGTAAAAGCAGACATAGGCACTATATAACTTTTGTTTCTTGGGCTATTCCCTAGCTACAGTTCAAATTTCACGTCAATCCATTCCATCCGAAAAAATTGGTAACCAAAATGCTTCAATGACTGGACTAATTGACAGTTCCCGCCGTGGCTTAAGCCCCGGGGTCACGTGGCTTGTAAACATTTATGAAAACTCTGTAGTTGTTCCCACAATATCAATGGTTAAAAAAAATTTACCGCCTAGTGACAGTGATCCGTTAATAGTAAGTTACTTTGTGTGTAAAGACGTGACATATGCTTTGTAGGTTATATCTCACCAATGGTCGTTAAAGTGGTCTCCTTGTATAGTACATCCGAAGATTTTAGGTCAAACACGCATTTTCGCTTTTCCTCCGACTAGCTAAACGTTTATTAAACGATGCCATGGCGTGTTACTCCTCGCTCTAATAGATCCACTAATTCATTTGATGTGTTTTCACATAATTGTATTCCGAGGTAGTTGGCCAACTTATGATAGTATTTGCGGAATATTTGTATTTTGAATACCCAAAAAGTTTGTTTTGCGCGACTGCTTTTTTCACTTTTATCTCAACTTGTCAGCGAAACTATAATTGAAGCTGAATTTTCGTAACATTGAATAAGTTGCTATTGTTTAACAATTATTATACATATTTGCCATACGTGCCTATCTACACCCAGAAAAGTGTTATCGTATTTTTAATAAAATTCGAAACATCTTTTAATTTATATTTCGTTCTAGCCCGCAAGTGTAGCAGATTTCAATTCGAGTGTAGATCGACTGGAGAGTGCATAGCCATCTACAATGCTTGTGATGGAATACCTCAATGTGCGGATGGTAGTGATGAGGCCCCGGAATTAGGCTGTCCGGATTCAGTCACCACTCCTCTACCTCCTCCAGTTGCCAATAATCCTTCGGTGCCCGTCAGATATGACACCAATGTAAGTAATACCAATTCCAAGTCAAAATAGTTGATAAATTTTACTTTGTTTATTAAAATGCTGTCCTTTTTCAATAGTTCCATTATTCTATGGGTTATCTTTACTGACCATATTCAATTGTTGTTTATTTGATCATTTTAAACCAAAAATCTGTAATGAGGCAAAGGTCTAAAACCAGTGATTTTTTGGAGATTAGGTTTTAAAGTATAAATAAGTGTAACTTGTATTCAAATATTTCTAAGATGTTTGATGTACGTAAACAAAACTTAAGCCAAGAATTTATTTAATTAAAGATGAACCGATTCAATACCAGATGGTCACTTAAATTGTATGGATTTCGACTCCACTCTGAGCATATTGTAAATTCGATATACAATTTGGTGACACGACCTAAACTAAACTGAACTTCTAGCCAAGTACTCCAAACATAATGTAACTTATATACAAAATTCATGCATGCGTGAAATAGTCAACCGACTGATATGAGTAACGTCTAGTAAACAACTAAGTTGAATACTGGGAGAAGGGAGAATGAACTGAGTACAATCCTGTTACGAGCCGCATATCCCGAACTGTATTTATCATTTATCGCACAATTCAATTTCTTTTTCTTAATATTTCTTATCAAATGAAGTCAAACGATACCAGAAATCTATGCAAAAGATCTGTAACTTCACAGACAAGACTCCTAACTGCTGATATTACGTGAAACAACTACTCTATGGACTTTATGCCCCAATTAGCATTTAATTGTACCAACACAGCTAGTATAATAAATAACACAGGCCCACAAACAAAAATCGAAAAGTCTTTTTTTCCAGACTAGGTGACCTTCATGTTTTTGGGGTCGCTGATCACTATCCCGGTGTCCATATGACTCCATCACGTCTAGATCAAGGTCAAATGAAGGTCAAACACATTAACTCGAATGATACAATTTTTTTTATACCGGATTTTGAAAGAGCGGAAAATTTTACATTCGAATACACAAACCGACCTCTGAAAGTCGTTTGCAGATCATCTAGATGATGACCTCTAGAGGTCAAATCCTTCTTTTGATCTCTCGGCTGACATCTTAGCTAGGAATGGGTCTCGAACAAGTTGATCCTTATATTTTTGGGATCGCTGATCACGATCCCGGTTTCCATATGACCCTATCACGTCAAGATCAAGGTCAAATGAAGGTTAAACACATTAACTCGAATGATACAATTTTTTTGATCCCGGAGTCTGAAAGAGCGGAATATTTTACGTCTGAATACGCTTCGACCTGTTGATCGAAACGACCTCTGAAGGTCTTTTGCATAGGTATTAGCTCAATAGTGTTTGTATTTAATTAATTATATTGTCAAGAAGGGACGTTTTAATTAAAATATATTTTTTAATGATTAGTAGTTTTGAAAGTTAAATATAACAACAAGAGCATTAACTCTTGCATTTAAAATTAATTTGTGAAATAATTTTGTTAATTAATCTTTTTTATGTCACCGCGTATAATTACTTTAAATCTAAAGTATAATTATTTTAGATATGTAGGTAACGCTCCAATAACGCGATATCAAAAAGATGAGTTAATAAACATTATTAAACACTGGATAGATTTTGTTACATACTAAAATTCTTTAAATATGAGATTTACTAATGTCTTTGTCTATGTATGTCTATGTTTCTTTAAATATGAGACTTACTAATGTCTATGTCTATTTATGTCTATGTTTCTTGACCTTTTCCTGAGTGACATCTTTGAATTGTCTTGTACAGAGTCCATAACTACAGTACTAGAAGCATCGTTATCATTGCATTATTTTTTACCTTTTTAATATTCTTTATATCACCAGTTGTCGAATTTTATAATTAACTTGCGAACTGCTCTATGAGTTACAGTTACATTTGGATACTTTTCATTAAAAATTTGTATTGCATATCGATATGAAACATTACCGATTCCATAACTTTTCACAAGATAAATTCGTTACTGCAGGGTTAGCATTATTAATAAAAATTATTGGGTGGGTAGTTAATAAAGGATTTTAAAGAATTGATGAGGAAATATCCATGGTAATTCTATGGTATGTAAGCCAGTTAAAAATTGTGTCGTCTTTTTATTTGCAAAATGTGATTATTGTCCTTTTATGACCAAACGTCGTATTTAAGCACTTCTTAAGTTCTCGAACAACTTTGTTAAATATAGTTTTTAACGAAAACAAAAATTAAAGACACTTTGATTAGGGTAAATTTCACATTTTGAAATTTTTTGAACGGTTTTCACAACTTTTACCATTAAAAATCCTATACATTTACTATAATTAAATTGAGGAATATATTACTTATATATAATTGAATACAAAACCAAACCTAGTTCCTCTTAAACATAAACACGATAATCGGTGTCTCCTGGGGCTCGCTCTCCGTCTCAAACTCGCCATCCACAGCAACCAAAATAATCTCGTAATTAATGCAGGCATTGAAATTCTCCAGAATAACATAATCCTCATCCATTTGTGGGGCTGTTTTTACGTACTCCTCATCGTTTTTGGTGCGGTACTTCACGTAGAAGTACTCTCCAGGGTTGTTGTCCACGTCTGGTATCCACTTGATGAGTGTATTCACTAAACAGGACACGTTGGTCTCTAACCATTCATTGGCGTGCGGGCTAGGTGTGACGATTTGACCCTTTTCCTGTTCGTTGAGGATGTAGAAGTCGTCCACCAGGTCTTCTGTCTTGGGTTGTTGGTGAAATGGGCGCTGGTAAGTCTCGAAGCATTTTTCTTTCATGAGGTCCTCTTTATCTGTCACGTTGTAGCCTATCTTGTATTCGAACGTAGACATGGAAGGGGCTTGGGAGGTGTGGGGTTTGAGTTCGACCTCCAGGACTTTGCTGTAAAGAAATAAAGTAATTAATAACAAAATAAAATAAATTTGAAAAATGTAAAGATTATTTCTGGGAAAAATTTTAAAATTAAACTGAAAATTTAAAGTGTAAAAATGTATAATACAAGAAACGGGAGTGTACATTAGCAAAATCGTAAATAAATTAACACATTTATTTTATTTCAACAGTATTAAGCTAATCCAAATATATTCAAAACATTTGTCTAACAATCCTACCAAATGAAGTCGAACAATGTTATTTGATACCAAAAATGTAGTTATGAACAAGATACCTAACCTCATAGATAATATTTTTAACTGAGATATTACAGAAAACAACTACTCTGCGGCCTACATGTCCTGACTAGCTTTGAATTGTACCAGCAACTTCTAGTAAACTGCTAATAATAGTTATCAAAAATAAAAATTAAAAATGATATATCTAATAATGTAATCTTTAAATTAATATACCGAGTAGCTCAAAGTGAGTGGCCTATTAGATTATTTCAGAACCTACTTCGATTTAAATTTTGAAAATTGGCACATTAGGTTTAGGTGTGCTCCTGTCAAATCTAATAATTTGTTCCTGTAATAGTCCAGGCGTTACAGATTTCGAGGAGTTTGTATTTGAAGTCATTTATTTTGTTGTACAGAAAAATCCCAAATATTATACGAATCCGAGTTTGCCTATTCCAAAGAACCATTGCTAAATTCAGGGGAATACAAACATACAAAAAGAACGAACAATAACCCATTTTACGACATATTTTTCCCTGTAACATTGAAAGTAATCCCCTAAATAAAAAAAGTTATTCTTTAATTTTTGTTTATTTGACGATGTTCTATAAAGTTACAACAATTGCGAGTCAAAAAAATTGAATTTTGCATTAACAATGGGCGAAAAATAGTAGAAAATCATATGTATAATGAGCAATTTTTAAAATAAGTAAATATTTTTAAATATTGATGAAACTTTGTTAACAAATAGTAAACCATATGTCAATTCTACCCTAAAAACGATCCATCGCGTGGTTTTCGATTGACAGTATTGTTAATTAAGAAAATTTTAAAAAGTTTATCGCGTACGTGGGTTTAAATTAAGGTTTAAAAAAGGCACACAATTTTTTAGAGATACTTGTTGTCATAATAAACAATGACCGATACTAAAAATACTTATTTTTACACTGTTATAACCATTTAGAATTTTTTTTAAAATAGATGACTTCAAACAGAAACGCCAAAGCCTACTTTTACTCCTCCGCCGCCTGGACTATAACACTTTCGGTTATACCGGAACATATACAGGGTGATTCAGAACTTATCCAAAAAAAAATTCTGGATGTACAGGGGACCCTTACAAATACAATTTTGTAAAGACAAAATCAAAAAGGTCAGTTCGAAATTGATTTAAAAATACACTTCTGCACAGCACTGGAAACTGGTCCACTATAAGACCTGATCTCGCACAATGCGACCGGTATGGCGGCGTGATAAAAACGGACAAAAGCTTTCGCAAGGAAAGAAATATGTAAATAGAATTTTATCGCACCTATTTTATATCGGCAAATTCAAATGCTTTTGCCTTTATTAGTTATTAATAAAATTAATTTGTGTTTTTAAATAATAAAATCATTTGACATACCCGATGCTGCAACAGCAATTGTTCAAAATTTTTTCCACTCACGTGTAAACACATTTGGGTCCGTCTTACTCACTTTCTACGAACTAAAACAAATGATGTCTTGTTGCACCATAACACAAACGCTTCACCATAAATTAAAACGATATCCATCAACTCCGAGTACACGCAAACCGTTTTTGACACTAACTACCCATTTTTGACACCAACTACTAAAAACGTATTATAAAAACCACAGATAACAGGTAAAAATCGCAACGACGATTGCAAAATCCGAATTCAGTATTCGGAGTCGATGAGGCCACGTGGCGAATGATGCTAGAGACTGCAGTTGTCCAGCTATGTAGTGGTTTAATGTGCTATAACTTCAATAATTTTTTTCTCAGAAACTATAACGATTTTACAATTTTTTTTTACAATATTGACTCCATTTCTCATGCCGCATCTATTCCCAAATTTTTTTGGATAAGTTGTGAATCACCATGTATATTTTTGGATTCTACGCTTCATTTTATGGTTTTATGGATTTTCACCAAGTTTCCCTATTTCTAAAATTATCCGTTTTCGAGATATTTAGCTTTTTAGGAAAAAAAATACAAACCAGAACCTACTTTAAAGCCGTGCGCATTCTACAGTTAGACAGATAAAGCAACAATATTTGCAGGAGCAGGAGCTAAATACCTAAGCTGCATAACCATATCTTCCGACATACCGAATATTATATAGGGTGGTGATAATTACATACATTTGGTCCACTGGAAACCATCTAAACTTGATTTTTTGTAGTGGAACACTGTATATTTTTTCAAATTTGGATGTGTCATTTTATTCTCTTTCCATAGGAAAAAGTCGTAGGGGTCATGTCCGGAAAAAAAGGTGGTTGCGACACCACAACGGTGTTGTGTTTCACCAACAACTGTCGCTCGCGAAACACATACTAAACGTGGCTTCTGCCTAAAATTGACAGGTACATCACTGACAGTGTTACCAATTCACAAAAAAAAAGAATCAACGTGATAGACAAGATACAATACGCGCAACTTGCAAATTCCTTTTATTTTTTGATCAAACCTCGTATAATACTAGTTGGGATATGTAGCCCCTATAGAATAGTTGTTTCCTACATTATCATCAGTTAAGAATCTTTACTGTGATGTTAGATGTCTTTTTGATATCAAAGACCTCATATAGGATAGGATTTTTAAGAACATTTATTGATTTATTTTAATACCTTGAAAATAGACTATAAACCTAATAATAAAATATATTTTTTTATTGTTCATATAAGAACGAAGTATTACAGAAAAATTATAGGGAATTTTTACCTAATATCTTTGCTCTAGCCTGCATTATCTTACGTCATAAATTAAAATAAATGTTTTAATATATAAATCGTTATTCATCCTGTAAGTCTTTTTTTAAATAAAAAAAAAATGCTAATACTAAAAGGCATACCTCAAGGCTCAATAATAGAGATACTACGATACATTGCCTAAACCTACTATCTATTTATAATTTATCGCTGATAATAAATTAAGTACGTCGATGACAGTACAATAATTTTCGTCTCTCCTAGGTAATTCTAATAGTATGCAAATATTATGAATAATAGTGTACAAACAGAAACAGATCAGATGATAAAATCTTCACCGAAAAATCCCCCAATTGGTAAATATATTTTTTTATTTCTTGGAATAAAGATTTACTCACGCCTGGATCGGAAATTTCGTGCAGAAATGTTTTTCACCTCTAAGAAAATGCTCACTTTAACAAGTTTATTTATTTATGAATATTTATATTTATTATTAATAACTAATTCATTATTTAAAAACTACCAGGAACAAAATACATGCTCTAGAAGGAATAGAGATATGCTAATCTTTGTCTTATATAGATTCATAGAAACATACCTTACTCTATAATAAAAGCATTTAATAAATTATACAACTGAAATCAATTTTAATAGAAAAAGCCTTTAGATAAATATTTCACTGATAATTATTTTTAATGTGTTTTTACTATTACTTAGTTAATATTATTTTATTGCGATTTTTTTATAGTATTGTTTATACTCCTTTTTAATATTCTCTTTGTATCAATGTCACCGGCATACACAAAAAAAGTTATCTGTGCCTTTAATTTGACCCAATAGACAGATTTCTGTTGGACATTAAAGACAGAAACGAATCAGAATAGACAGAACAGAAAGAGAAATCTGCTGCATAGCTCATTTGAAGAGAAAATAATTCGATACAAGAGAAAAAAGTGTAAAAGCAACATCAAAGAAAGCCTGGTTCCAATCAGACGAATTTATTTGGAAGTAATTCATATCCATGATATTTATTCAAGATTTTCTGGGATTCACGATTTCCATTTTTTTTCTTATATTTTCCTATTTTTGCAAAATTTTTGGGTACTGAGGCTCAACAGACTAGATTCAAATTCGACTCGACAAAATTTATGAGAAGAACATTTGATCCAATTTAGAAAACCTCTTACTAAATTTTCTCTCTCATTATTGTGATTTTTGCCATTTTCAGCAGTTTTTTTGCGTTTTTCTGCAAAATCTGTGGGGGGAAACAGCTAATAGACTTCAACTCGAATTCAGCGTATCAAAATACACAAAAAACACACTTGATTAAGGTCAGAAAAAAATATTTCCAATTTTATTTGCGCCCACTAATGATTTTTTGCGATGTTTCGCTATTTTTGCTAACTTTCCACAATTATTTTGCGATTTTTGCAAAATCTGTGGGGATGCAGCTTAAAAGACTTCAGATTTGGATTCAAGACACCAAAATGCATAAGAAACCCATTTGATCAAGTTCAGAACAAATTTTTTCGATTTTTTTTGCGCTCACTAACTTGATTTTCGGCGATGTTTCACAATTTCTTACAAATTAGTCAAAATGGAATTCAGATTCGCATTCAGCACTTCAAAGTACATAAAGCCTATTGGGTCAAATCAAAGATAGAGATTTTTTTGTGTGCCGGTGTTTTTTTATGTTTTACTGTTTACTGTTGTAATCTTTAAATGGTCATTCTTTCTAGTCACATTCTCAGAATGGTATGACAAGTGCCACAATTACCACATTAATCTGTCAGTTCTAAATTCGATAAATCAACAAAATCTATGAAAAGTTGAAATTATTTCAACCATTTTCGGAATTCGCCATCTGCTTGGTGTAAAAACTGACACAATATAAAAAAATTTCTAGGAGTATTTAAATAACAAACATTTATATAAACTGTTTGGTTTATTATTACCTGTGGACTGTTCCTTTAAAATTCGTGACAAACTCCGTATAAAGCTTGTGGCAACAAAAAACGATTTAAGACATTTTTATTTCTTTACTAATTTAAGACCCATATATAATTCAGATTACATTTTTTCGTCTGATGTCGGTCGTTCGTCCAAATAGCCCCTTATCGCGGTCATTTGTTTCAACGGCCATCTTGGCGGTCTAATTAGCACTAAAAACTTGTTAACACCACTTTTTCAACATCGAAGAAGCAATAAATCGAGATAAACCCGTGACGCGATCGTAAATGGTTCTTGGAATCCATTTAAGAGATTCGACAGGTGTATCGATTCGTGTACTTAACTGGGAATGTTTGCTACATACGGAGTGTGAAAGAAAATAAGACCATACTTTAGTTCAAACTGTTACTGTGTAATTTTGGAGGTGAATGATTTGAATAAGTTTATTGCAGAAATATCCCACTCCTGACGACTTACTGATCGCTCTCTCCGGCACAATTGACGGCGCCAATTTGGACGAAATATTTCAATTCCTCCTTCAATCCAGTCAGTTTAGCCTGGAGGTTGTCTCCACCCGACACGAAATATTTAATGGTTGTTTTTTCGTTGACCATAGCGCCGTTCATCTCGCTGCAGTAAATATTATAGCCCAACAGGACGCCATTGGGTTGAGAAGGCTTTTTCCATTGGAGCAGGACAGAATTAGACCCGAGTTGGCGGTATTCGAATGGAGAAGGCATGTTGGGTTCTGGAAAAAGATTAACTGAGCTGAAAATATATCTTCAGTGAAACAGTATTTGTGATAAACACTAAATACTTTGTATAGCGCATACATAAATGTTTACAAGCCACGTGACAGCCGATCTTAGGCAACCAACATTACACGGCAGGTACTTTCAACTAAAAATCCCTAAATCTTACCCTCGCCAGTATTAATGATTCGTTTACAATGAACAAGGTCATGTGAGCTATAATCATTTACGATTGCTCTGCACCAAAGCTTATCAGTTACCTGTTTGGGGAGCGTCAAAGCTGATGGCGTTGCTTCTCGGTCCAACAAATTTGTCGTTTCGAACGGCGACTGTTATGAAGTTTTTCGAGTACGGAAAAAACTGAACAGCCGTTCTGGTGATCTCTGGTGGTATGGCGTAGACTTGGCTTAGGGCGTGGTTCCAAACTCTGGCCAAATAGCCCCTGAAGGTGCCTCGAACTGTGGTAGGATCGACAGGGTCCCAAGTGATAATAACATCTCTGTCGTCGAAATCTATCAGAGTTAGGTTATCTGGTTTTTCTAGTGGAATGAGGTCTTCTACAAGTAGAAATGATAGATAGTGATATATCGCCCCTTCCTCCATATAAATTATTCACATTAGTTTTTTTTTTCAATTTCTTTACATTTTACGATAAAAACAAATATTTTAAAAATGTATACAACTGTAACAATATCGACAATTTATATTCAGGGTGAATCATAAATTGACTGAACATGTTTGGGGTTATCCTTAAATTAAAGCGAGAAAAAGAATCCTGCAAAAACATCGTTTTCCAGATGCAGGGTGTTAAAGTTTTTGAAAAATATCACATCTCGAAAAAAGTTTGACGTAAATTTATAAAACTTGGACTAGAGAAATAACTAAAGATAAAAATTCATTGAATTTGGATATAATTAAAAATATCAAGTAATCGCGAAGATGCTGGGAGATACCAACAATAGGAGGGACCGCCTAGCCGGGTGTCTTGACCGATGGATTTCGATCGGCCGAGGTAAACACCACGGACGCAGGCTGAAACTTGGATGGGTGACCTAAGGCAGGCTCGGGGACGTGGCTGTGGCAACCTACCAGAGACCTGGGTCGCTTCCGCCTGCGTGTAGTCCCCGATAAAATGGTAATGAGAATAGAGCAATAAATCTCTGTAACTCAAGACCATTGCTATCATACATAAAAATTGTACGAGACTTTGCCACCAAGCCACCCGTATAGTAATAGGACGGTTTGAAGAAAAGTACTCGAGTAGTGAAGGGGGGTGTACAAGGGGCCTAATAAGGCCTAAGTGCCGCGGTGGAAAAGCAATTTTCCACCACCCCCCCGACATACATACATACATACCAACAATAGGAATTCCAGAATGTCGATGCTATAGTAAATAATTCGTGTTAAATTTTGAATGAAATTAGTATTTTAACATAACGTTATGTACAAACAGATATCGATGCGCAGTTTGTATTCTACTCAGTGTCGGTTCTTGACTTATATACCAGGGAAGGCGGAAAAATTTAGGTACAAAGTATCGGTAAAAAATTAAATATAGTTGGGCAGTTTTATTTTAAGTACTATTGAAATATAGCGAAAAACATATAAGTAATTTTTTATAGTGATGTTCATTCTTCTGCTTTTGTCCGAAATAAACTTTTCAATTACTTTTCCATTAAAGTTTGGTATTTCTCGCATCATTGATTTTGCAATAGATAGCATTACTGTTAGTCTGTCTTTACAATCAATTTAAACTTTTACAATCTTTGAAAAAACACACAAGAAGCAATACGTAAGTAACAAAATTTTACACCACATCTGAAAAAAATACGTTTAATAAGAAAAAAAGCCGTGAATAGCTACTATTTGGTTACGCTCGGACTAAACAGAACCCAAAGTGCATAGTAAATACTCTCTACTCCCTCACTGCTGCGCGTCGGTAACCATGACCACCACTGTGAACACTTTACTTATGTAGAAGCGAGGAACGCGGTACGCGGAACCCACGTGTTCAGAAATTGACTTAAATTGACTACACATTACAAATTTAACATTTCCTTTTCAATGTGTTTCATTTCTGCTTTTTCTGATGGTGGTGTTTTCAGGGTTTTACAGTACCGCGCAGCATTAACTGTTTTCCACTGGGGCAAAAAGTCAATGAGGAGTATCCCTATATAGTCCCAAAACACATTTGCCATGATTTAGAACATTCGTTCTGCCAGCTATTTATTCACGACACCACTTGTACACGTTAGTACGATTTATCACACCATCACCATAAACAGTTTTGATTTTGTTAAAAATCTGGAACGGCGCCTTTGTTTTTGTAGGAAGAAACCGGTTTATGTTTCTCACCTCGCAGCTGGCGGGATTCGGAATAGCGGCACTCACTTCAACACGCCACTACAACAACAGTTCTCAACTGACTGAAACAAATGAGCATGCGTTCTGTTCCCAATATCTTGACCTTTAATCCAGTGTTGCCAACTTTGTCGAGAACAAAAACCAGAGAGCATCGGAGTCTCAGTACTCTTACTTTGTGGATATGCCTCGCATATAAGATTTATTTAACTAACAAATAATTAAGTGAACATTATTCAACGAATAATGTTGATATTTCAACACTCGTTTTAACAAAAAATCGTGTTGATTTTGAGTGAAAATTTACTAATTTTTTGCGCTGTTTTTCAGTTTTTCAAGAAAATCTCGTTATTAGACATATTCTATTTCGCAGAATTTATTACAGAATTATTCATACATGGATGATACTATGCACAGCACTTAACATAACTCTTAACTTAAGGCATACAAAGGACTAAAAGCCACATATATGACAAAGGACTTCTACTGCGCATATCTTCAAGGTCAGGTTTATTTTTTTCTTTAAATTTTAAACAAAGCTGTGGTAAAATGTATCTTGTAAATATTTTCATCGTTATTTCTAGGTTTCTCGATGAGTGCTCAAAATTCAAACAAATTTCGATCTAATTTTTCTCAGGATATTCATACAAATACATCTGACATGCTCTTTCACAGTTGCGGTTACAGGTATAATAAATTCCTATTATATTATGCTTATCTTCATTTTCAACATTTGCCATTTTGAACATTTACTGTTCTTTTTTAAAATATAATATTTATTTTGGAATATTGGCTGTTCATATGCATTTTTAAGAATTAATTTGTCTTAATAAAATTAAAATTGTAGTAATGTTTTAATTTTGACGGAACAACTTATCGAATGATGTATGACTAGGTGATGCAGATTAAACTCTAATGCCTACTGTTTTATTGTAACGTGTGATGGTAATAGTTAAATAACTAGGTGGATTTCGTAGGATTTAACGACACTTAGAGTGTACGATAATTCAAGAAACAGAAATCTAAAAAAAAATATATTTTGGAACAAATACATTGAGGATGAATTTCTAGAGACAAAACGTCTGAATCTGGTCCAAGCTGAGGCAGTACAGTATTTGCAAAAAATGTAATAAAATTTCCAGGGTTGTATTAAAAAAAAGTTGATGATGGTCCTGGAGAGACGAAACGTTACATATAAAAATTGATTATGCCATTCGATAGAGAGCAAAAAGTGGACACGAGAAAGTGTTCTTCTTTTTTCAATATCACTTCAAACAAGGCTGAAATTAAACAAAATTAGATTTCCAAAATTTCGTTTTTTTTTAAGATATTTCGAAAACTACTCATGTTAGCCTTGATTTTTTAGAGGCATAATGTTGGTCCCCTGATTATGCAACTTTGCCCTCATTTAAGCTAGTTAAGCTAGTTCGTATCTCTTACCGTTTCCGAAATCCCTGTAGTGAGAAGCGAATTTATAACAGCCTGTATACACCTAGATAACTATTACTTTCTACTACAAACACAGAGATAAATAGGTATCATTAAATTTTGTGGCAACAAAAATTTATATTTTCTTGCAGTTATATGAAAATACATTTTATATTTGCGAAAGTTTTATAGGAGACATATTTTTCGAAAAATAACGTCGATTCTTCTTTTTATACGTATATTACTGAATTATTCAGCTTAAGGTCAATCGTGTTTTGATTTAATACCGTGGGTTGAGTCATTTTAATGATGTGTTATGCAAATAAATTGCCTTGCGGCCTTGGAATCTCAAAGAATTACACGGGTAACCATTGTAATTATTAATAGAGCTGAGATTTAAAAATTAAAGTTTTAAAAATAAATTATTTCTTCAATTATTGTCGATGAATATTTCACCAATGAACATGGCGTCGCAGTGACTGAAATTGAGATTAAGATATATTTGTTGACGAAATTCTTATGTTTTTGGAAAAGAAATATAAAGAACTCGCTATAGACAAATTTTTCTATCAAGTATCAAATTTTCAATTATTATTTTCAGGGAAGATATAGTTTCTTAGGTACCTCTTTTACTTTCAAAATTCAAGTACTATCTCTGGAATTCTTCAGGGTTCTAATCTTGGACTGCACTTATTTTTACCTATTATTAACGATGTCTTCAGCTAATTGTAACAAACTTGGTGAGGTGCAAATAACTTCCATAAATAAAAGAATCGAGAATCAAACTTATATATATATTATAAATATCTAAAGAGATATTGAAAATAACTTTTTTTTCTGAAAATTATAATTTTAACAAACTGGCATTAAAATGTCATTTTTTCTTAAATTTAGAATTAATTAATAAGACAATATTTTGGAAAACAACAACGAAATAAACTTACTCAGAGAGGAGTGCCCTAGACAGAACAAAACACAAAATACTGCACACCGAATCCACATTCTTGCCGCAATCAACGAAACGCGCAAATAAGTGACAATCCTACCGCAAAGCTCACCAGCTCCAGTTTATCTCATAATTAGCAATTTCCTACTTCGTCGGAGTTTTTATTATTTAATTTGGAAATAGTCAAGATGATGTGTACGCCTCCCAGTGGGAGGATGCAGGATGCAGTCACGCATTCTATTTTTTAGAATTTATTTAGTCAGATAAGATCTGTCTTGTCTTGGTGGATGACGATTGTGAGAATTGGCGAAGGCGCTGGTGTTCAGCCGGAAATGGAAACGCGCACCAAATGAAATCGTAATTGGGGTTGTTTCGATTTCCATTTAAAAATTAAGAAAGTAGAATCCATCTAAAGATAAAATAAAAGTATCTGAGTCTTGACTTATTTTTGGTAGCAGCGGTGTAAGGGAGATATGTGCCGGGTGATTTTCTATAATGTCCACCCACCTTGTTTATTTGGGGAAGTAAAATTTTATAAAAAATGTGAGCCTGTAGGATTTTTTCTGTACTTTTTGCACAGGTATTTAAAAATAGATCAAACATATACAGGGTAAATCAAAAAGTATACTTTTTTTAAATGGGACATCCTATATATGAATTAATTTATTGATTCTTCGTTTAATTCTAAGCATTTTCATACAGGCTCTCACGTAACGGCAGATGGACCATCGGTACTTTCTGACCCTGTATATAACAAATCATATTAGCAAATAAAAATTAATAAAAAACTAACTGTGTACTTAACTTTACTTCCGATAGGTTGTCTAGATTTTCGTGGGCAGTAAAAAAAGTGAAAAAAAACACGTAAATTTACCACTCACTATTTGCAATTTGCCAACTTAGCACCACTTCTTTTGAATTACTTCTTTGATATTATCATTATCTACATACCCTTTCCCGTTATAAAAATGTCTATAATAATTTTTTTAACTATTAAGGTTTTATGATCTAATTCGACTTCAACTTTTCCCCCCTTTTTTATATTACAATTTATTGATCATTAGTCATCTCCAATGTTTCAGAAATACTTATTAACGAACGGAAGAATGAGACTTCAATAGAAAAAAAAAACGGTTAAATTTGGTGCTGATATAAAAGATATTTTTAAAAAATCAATAAGTCAATTTCAAGCTGCTATATCGTAAAGAGTCGGAATGTGTCAGTCGAATTAAGAAATGCCCTGTACAGCTAATGAAAATTTTTGGGTTATACTTATTTAGAAAAAAAAATTACCTAGACTAATTCGATTCTCCTAAATTCCTAAAATACAATGGTATTATTTCTTTTTTTACATAGTCCGAGCAGGAAAACCACTTGTTCCAGGAGTAATCCGAGAACAAATTACTCGCACACTGCGAAAAATTATTATACAGAGTTATTCAAAATTCAGTATCCATCCTGTATATCGAAAACTAAGCATATGTGGACCCACGTTTATAGGAAAGAAAGTCTTATTGTGACCTCAAAAATAGGCCCTTAAATTCTTTGTGCTGAATTTTAAATCACCCTGTATAACTTTATTAAATTTGATATATAAATATACCGCATGTGAGAATACAGTTGTTTTCTTTGTTTTTTTACAAGGTTTCCTAAATCCAGTTTGTAACTGTTATAGTGTGAAGTCACTTATACGATTGCAATTATAAGAATACGATGTAGAACATGGTGAACATCTTTAGTGAAAATTATTAGAATAATAGCTCAGTCTTTACCTTATGTTACCTTACCTTATAACAGTAACAATAATAATAAATTTATTTACCAAAAGAGTACAGAGAATACAAAGTTTCAAATATATGTAGTAAGTTTTTTATTTTTCATTTAATTGGATCCATATTTAACATATCGGTGATCTTCTAGTAGCTAAATCAAGTTAACTAAATAAAAGGGAAAACATATTTTTGGGTAAACAGTAGGTAAAAAACTAATAACATTAAAGGTTGAAATATTGCCAATATATCCTCTACTGCGATACAAATAAGATGTGAAATGTTATTACAAGAGAATTAAATAGTGACCCATATTTGGAGAACAATTGTCATTCTTGTTTTTTAAATATCTGGTGTAAGGAACATTTAACAAAGCTGTCTAATTAGCAGTTTCTCAGTAGACCTAATATACTAAAATCAATGTATAGCCTGTTTAAGTACGTTGTAGAAGTGTCCACTTCTGCATTTTCTTATGACTTTCTGTTAAATAGGACTTATAGAAACATTAACACCAAACAGCGGGTCACAAAATGTTAGTTTGAATGTTTCTGTTCAGAGTTTGGGTGTTTTCCATTTTGAGAATTTTCCCCTGGATATTTTCATAGAGACGTATTTATCTAGATATTGAATACCGAATGTATCTATTTTTACACCTTTTATTCTTTTGCAACATAACGACCTTTTAACTATAAATTTTATATTTCGCCAATGTCACTTTACAACTGCTGTTATAAGCATAACATTCTTTTTTACTTTCGTACTTAGAGAAAAATGGAAAACTTTTCTTGTGATATCAAATCAGTACTCAAGAATATTAAGGAAAATAAGGCCAAAAGAGTCGCCTAACAATAACACATTGAGTTTATGGTAAACTATTAGTCATATCTTCCTTATTATTAGAGATAGATCTATCATACCTTATATCGCTGTAATCCTGAGGAAGCGCTCTATCCAAATATGCGACATTCAATAGTTTTCAATTCGCAAGAAAATTCCCTAAAACTTCGTTGCAAATATGTTTTTTCTAAGTACGAAAACAGACAATAGGGAATAGAATATGTAGAATACGTTATACTATTGTTTCAGTTACCTCCCCAAATAAACGCAAACACAGCGTCTCTATACCGCCCCCAACCGCCTCACGACCCACCGCCAGTGCCCCCAGCGGCGGTCCCCCACCCCGACGCCGACTTCCTGCGGCCCGCCACCGATCCACGTCTGAACCCCAGGATGCAATACGACTCCCAACAGGTGGCGCCGTACGTGCCCCAGGTGCCCGTACAGCCCCAGTCGGGTTGGATACCCCACCAGAGCAACCAGATGCCGCCGCCTGTACCCCAGTACGCTGGTAAGTACCGAATTTATGTCATTTATACTATACAGGGTGATTCAGAACAGAAAAAAAATTGGATGGGCAGGGAACTCTTACAAATACAATTTTGTAAATAAATAATCAAAGAGGGCAGTTCGAGAATGATTTAAAAATACACTTTTGCACGGCACTGGACGCACTGGTCCGCCGTAAAACCTGACCTCGCGGAATGCTAGCGGTATGGCGGCAAAATGTGATAAAAATGGACAAAAACTTGAAAGAATTTTGCAAGGAAAGAAATAAATATATAGCTCCCATTTTATGTCAGCAAATTCAACTGCTTTTGCTGCCCCTATTGTTATTATTAATTAATAAAATTAATTTGTTCAAAATTTTGTCCATCGACGTGTAAACATATTTGGGTCCGTCTTACTCATTTTCTACGAACTAGCACAAATGTTGTCTTGCTGCACCATAACACAAATGCTTCACCATAATACAAATGTTGCATTGTTTCACCATAAATTAAAACGATATCCATCAACTCCGAGTTGCTGTACACGCGAGCCATTTTTGACAAACTATTGTAAACACTATCGCAACGACGATTGTAAAATCGGATTTCAGTACCGTTGCTCAGCTATGTAATGGTTGAAAGTACTACAACTTCAATAATATTTTTTCTCGGAAACTATAAGGATTTTACAAAAAATGTTTTTATAATATTGACTCAATTTGTCATGCCACATCTATTCCCAAAGGACCCCTCACAAATCAAACGGAAATTGGCTTTCGGTGAAATCGGCCGAATTTTGGATATATTGTTCCTTTCGGTGTACAGATCAAAAGTCTCCACGGGCACGTAGCTCGAAAATCTTCCCTGCGAGCAGTACCCAGTTAGACACTGGTAATCCCCGATTTTCGCTGATTTTACCTCTACCCTTGCATTCTCGGGATATATATGAAGATATATATCAGAGTTCATAGTTCAAAAGTAATAAAGAATTCCCTGACTTCTTCAGGTTTTGTCTGACTTATAAAAAAAATCCAGGTCACTTGTAGTTCATTTTTACATACTAATTGGTGTTTATGTATTAAATGTTTGCTCGACTGGACTCCTTAATCTTTTTTATACCCTAACAACCTCTTATATAGGTTTCAAAACCACAAATAGTTTTCTCTTTCAAGAACCCAGGGCCGGCTTTCACAAAATTTCCAGTTGCAAACATCAAATTCCCTGACTTTCATGAATTTTTAAAATTCCCTTATTATGACCTGTTTTTTTATGAAGAATTACAAATTCCCTGACTTTTTCTGGTATTCCTGGTTTTCTCTACCGCTACGAACCCTGTTATATATATATATCCCGAAAATGCAAGGGTAGAGATAGAATCAGCAAAAATCGGGGATTACCGGTCTCTAACCTTCCAAGCTGGGTACTGCTCGCAGGGAAGATTTTCCAGCTTCGTGCCCGTGGAGACTTTTGATCTGGACACCGAAAGGAACAACATATCCAAAATTCGGCCGATTTCACCGAAAGCCAATTTCCGTTTGATTTGTGAGGGGTCCTTTATTTGAATAAGTTGTGAATCACTCTGTATAGGGCGGTCTTTTTTTAACTTAGGAACAGGTACCTAGATATATAAACTCCAGTGCCAAAATTGCAAGCAATAGTCTTATGAATGAAATCCCAATTTTTACTATTTCTTACACGCCACTGGAATTTCACAAAATCTAACCCGCTGGTATTAATGCTGTACAATGTACATAATAGCATTTGACCTTCGATTAATTTACATCACACTATTAATTAAGACATTCCAGACACTTCGAACGATTTGCCTTGTACTGTAGGTACTGTACTGTAATTTTCACTTTGTTGTTCTATCGTAAATTTCCAGTTTTACGCCATCATTGAGCCTCCGTAATAAAGCTAGCAGCATTTGAAATATGTATAATTATGGGGAAAACGCTCTGCATACCGGGTGTCCCACTTTAAAAAATACACGTGAATATCTCTTAAGTTAAGGGCTTAATGAAATAATTTTTCAAATAAAAGTTGTCAGGTTTTGAGGGGGACATCTAATGGTGACCTTGACCATGACCTTCAAGGTCAAGCTGATTTTTTCAAATGGAAACACATATTTTTGACACTAGAAATGAAAAGACCAGAAAATTTTACACCTGACTATGACCTTGACCATGACCTTCTAGGGCATTTTAAGGTCATTTGAAGGTGATTTTAGTTTTTTGTTGCAAAATTCATTTCCGTCTTGCCGAACAGTGTACTCGGGGATTTTCGAGGGCGCTGATCGCGAATATGAAATCAGAATTTGAAAATATTCAAATCCAATATGGCCGACCAATCTTTGGTAAACATTTTTAATATTCATGTGGATTGACACTTTCAAGATGCTTCAACCTACGTTAAAACTCGAGGTCAATTCGAGTATTCGACATATTGGATCCGCCGTATCGGATTTAACTATTACTAAATTCTGAGTTCAAAAACATTCGAATAAAAAATGCATGCCGCAAAGGGCTAATGGGTATTCTGGAAAATTATGGCGAGCCCCACATATCAAAAAGAAAGATATGAACAAGATTAAAATTTTGTCTGCAAAATATTAGAATGGCTTTTGAAACTTAAAGTTATGATCAAGGTTATATCCGGAAGCAAAATTCTCCGCACTTTCTATTTTGGTCTGAAAGATACCGGTTTCTATTTGAAAAATTACCTTGACCTTGAAATGACCGTGAAGGTCAAGGTCAAGGTTAATGTCATAGATGGACGTGAAATGGCCCGCTCTCCTCGTTTCTGGTCTCAAAAGTAGAATTTTGCAACAAAAACGACCTTCAAATGACCTTGAAGGTCATGGTCAAGATCATAGTTAGATGTAAAATTTTCTGCCCTTTTCATTTCTGGTGTCAAAAATATGTGTTTCCATTTAAAAAAAAACAACTTGCCCTTGAAATGACCTTGAAGGTCATGGTCAGGGTCACCATTAGATGTCCTCCTCAAAACCCTACTTTTATTTGAAAAATCTTTTCATTACGCCCTTAACCTAATAGATATTCACGTTTATTTTTGAAAATGGGACACCCGGTATAAGGGAGGAGCTGCTAATGCATTTTGTCTTGCTTCGCCATAAATAAAACAATATCCATTAATTCTGTATTTCTATACACATAGGCCATTTTGAACACAAGGACGTGAACAATAAATCACTGTAATAAGAGCACCATAAAAACCACAGTAATATTGAATAAATAAGCGTTTCTTAAATCAAATCAAATTATAATTTTTTTTTAGTCATACCGATTCTATTTTCAGTGGTGCATACATGTAACCACAATTTTTTTTGGATAAATTTTTTGCTAAATTATCTGTTCCTAAGTTTGATAAATAAAATCCGTACCGCCTTGTAAATCTTTGAGTATCTGTTTCGTTGAATAGAACGAGGGGATTTTTAGTTTCAGATAAAAACAGCCACATATTCAACCACAAAGAAAGCGGGCTGCAAGTGCCTGATGGGCAAGAGATCAGGTATAATAAATATAAGGGAGCCATGCAGTACTTGCATCGCGCCCTGGGATACTCGGGTGGTGGAGGGTGAGATAGCTATCCAAACAATAGTAGAGATAGATAGGTAGAGAATGTTTTAGCTGGTCCGGTGGAATAGCGCGTCTTTTAAAGCCTAGTCTGCAATGAGAAAAATTTACTTCGCAGAAGTCAGCGCAACATTTATGTACATTTTTTCCAATTAAATGTTAAATGTTGTAAGACAGCGGTTGCCAAACATTTTGTTTGACTTCTGGCGTTTGGTGCAAATTTTAACTGTTGCGCGCGAGGCTTAAGAATGCTGATTGTTTAACTGGACCGTAGAGCACAGTGCATGCTCTCTTTCACTCGCATAGATGTAGATTTTACATACAAGAGATGATTGAGGTACACTGCTTTGTTGGTTGTTTCTTGTTTACATCGTTCAAAGGAATTTTTGTTAACAGTATATGGTAATTGATAGAATTCGGGACACACGACTCGTAACAATGTCGTACTTAGTTCACTCAGTTTTCATTTGTTCATAACGGTCTGTCGGCTTTTACTTAAACTACTGTAAATTGTAGTCATCGTTGTGTTTAAATAACTATAGGTATAAGTATATACATACTATGGATTATTATATTAGTGGAGGGTACAAGTGAATTAAAAATCCAAAAGGGGAAAGAAATAAACGGGAATAAACGAGAAGTGAAAAAACATTTTGAGGGCATACAAGTTGTAATCTAAATTTTAGTTGTCTATTTTTTTTAACCTACGTAAGGTAATACTCAAACTATGCTGATTCTGAATATAAATTTTAAGCAAATCCAGCGATTTGTATTAAAAATATTTTACTTTAAATAATTGTTTCTCGGACGTTCCACTATAGGAAAAGTATCGTCTTTCCGATTATCCGAAATCAGTTGGACATCTATAAAAACGCCTAGCAATAAAATTTTATGAGTTTCATAGGCGTCCCTAAAAAAGTTTTCTGCTAAAGTTAAAAATTATAATAATTTGTATATAATGTGCAGAAAATTTCTATTATATGTTCATTTGGACAACAACATATTTTAGTTATGTATGTCCTCAAACAATTTTATTATATTGATGGTAAATTTCTCCAAAATGCCAGGTTGTAATAATATTAATAAACAAAATATCCCTCTTATTTCTCCCTTTCGCAATTGTAATATGAATGATTAATTGAAGGTGCCTATAATAAATTAAAACTACCTGAATCACACCAAATTCCGCATTGCTGCACTGCACTGCTAGGCAATTTGTCAACCACTTGTCAACAACTGAGATTTATTGCTCAGTCGTCCAGCGCGATTGTTATACGCCGTTTGCCCGCGCGCACATTCGTCAACTGGGCGTTTACATTTCTACCACCTCCACGTTTAATTCGACCAGATCTTTATTTGGGCACAAATTTTTCAAATATTTCAATTCCGAGTTGCGTCAGCGACCGAACCTGGTGCATACTGCCAACCTCTTGGTTCTTCAATTGAGATCGGAAAAACTATAACAACCGTGACAGCTGTCCAGGTAACATACAAGCGATTGAGGTAAGAGGTTGTGTGACATTACATTTTTTTTTGAGCACTTGTACGCCTCAAAATTTTTATTTAATTAATTAAAAAAATAATTTGGCCCAAAAAAATTGTACCAAGCATATTCTATGAACATGTTTATATGGACATTTGTAAACTGAGTCCGATACTGTTGGAAGTTGCGTGTCACCGAATTCCAGTCATTAACTACAACATTTTTTTATACCATAATGATTTACTGAAAATCATTCAATCATTTTCATGTTGCCAGATCCCAGATCTTTGGATTTCAGCCGGAGTCTATTGTTTTTAAATCATTTCTCCGGTAGGTATCGTATTTAGAGGGCAAATTCTGCTGAAATGAAAAAGACAAATAAATAAAAAAAATAAAACTAATATACATAACATTGGTTGACGCCGTGGTGTGATATAGGGTTGCCAGATCTCCGGGATTGACCCGGAGTCCTCGGGTTTTGATGGTACATCTTCGAGCTCCGGGTTAACATGTCATTTCTCCGGGTTTTCTTTGTTGCGAAAAAATCGCGATTTCTTCGAAAACATTTCCCACATTTCCTGATTTCGTTCTTTTTTTTTAGACATTAACATTAAAAATTAGTCTGACGTCATAAGGGGCAATTAAACAAGAAGCTAGTAGCGATCCTATTGCATAATTTTGAAAAAGAAAATATATCAAAATTGTCTATCAAATCCTGTTACCCTGTTTCCTGTTTTTTAAACAAAAGTGACAGTAGTGACAGCAGTCTATCAATTAAGAGTATTTGTGATAGTTATTATTAATTTCCTGATTGTAATGGATTCAACAAAATTTAAGTGGTGTTTTGTTCCACATTACACATTCCACATTCCACATAGCCAATTGCATTATCTCCATAAGACTCCCGAACTGCACTATTTTCCGTAAATAAATAGGTATTTATATTTATTTATATTATAAATGAACACAATAAAATCATTCATTAAATATGTTAATACCTGACTGCTTTCATACCTCTGATTTCGCCAATATTAAAACGGTCGTCTCTTTTAAAAAAATCAATTCATGATCATAAAAATATCAATTTTCGGTAAAATTTGCGAAGTAGCTTTCACAAATCCCGTTTCACACATTCTTCTTTAATTCTAAGGGAAGGAAGATATTAAATGATTATTACTAAATAATAATTTTACTTAATAAAGGAATTCGAAGATTAAGGAAAATAACTTGTAGACTTGAAAATATTTTATGCAACAATGTCACTGACAGACTGACACTACTGACAGTGTTGACAGAGCATCTTATTCCTCCACTTTTTTTCCTTTACGCAATCATCTACACATAATTTCACTACAAGGTACCCCTTATGACGTTACAGCCGTTTTGAAATATAAAAAAATCAGTTTTAAATAATTATTTTAAAACTGTTCCAACGCATTTGTCAATCTCTAATTGTGCACACATACTGTAATTAGTACGTGTAGAATTATATTATCTACTTTTGAAATTTGGTCAACAACCCTATTGCGTCCTTTTTTTTAGACATCGATTTCTTGGAAAACAATTTGTCTCCCAGATTTCCTGATTGCATTTGCATCACCCTATATATAGGTGTGAATATAAGGCTTTTTTTCGCGAGTGAAGTCGTATGTTGTAGTATGTGTAGTATGAGTGAATATTACGTTTTTGCGAGAATAGTCAGTCATTTAAACTACTATGTGACGTCACAAGTTTAGATCAAATGACTGAACTCTTCACCCTTCAGCTGAATATTCTGTTGGTATATTCAACTAGTATTGTCAGCTGGTAACTTAACCTTTTTCATTTTGACATTTTGTTTGAATGAGTATAAAAATCGTTCAGCAAAATGATGGATTCTGATATGGTTGTGGAAGTGGCCAGTTTAAATTTAAACTTTAGAGGCACAGATGTTTTAGTAAACATAGACGTTGAAACAGCAAATATTTTACTTGATGGTGAGATTAATTTTTTATATGGGACATATTTGCAATCCACTTTGCTTCAGGATTATCCTCTTTTTTTTTGTGACCTAGGCCAGAGATAATATTGGTGGAATCATTTGTAATTCAAGTCTTTTTCGTATGAATTACATAAAAAACCGACCTAACCTTCCATTCTCTTACGATAACGATTATGTCGAATATTCGCATATCTTGCAACGTCAGAATCTACATACTTTTCACGCTTTTTAAATTTGCCACTTAAAAATATTCCAAAGAAAGCATTGATATATTCCTTCAGTTTTATTTGAAGCAAATACATATATTATATAGTGAGATATAACACCAATTCCCACAACACTAGATTACTGGAAGCAATAAATGATGACAAATTATGGTTACTGGTTAGAAGTTAAAACCCATATGTCAAAGTCGTCAAAGTACATACTACATATCACTGAATAGTGAATATATACATTTTCGCCATCTGTTCAGGTTAGACAAGGTTAGAAATAAGATTAAAAGAGATAGAAACAGTAACTACAAGTCAGACGTATTCACCAATATTCACTCGCGAAAAAAAGCCTATAGTTTGGTGTGATGACGCGCATGCCCATTTGTTGGCGTCAGTATCGAGACTTTGACGTAAACAAAGATCAAAGCACTTTTGTATTGACGTTTTCTTTTCAATAATCACTATATTTCCAGAGTTGTTGCTGCCCAAACACCATTAGTTTTGTTGTGTAAAACTTCACACAATATTTAAGGTTATGTTCACATTTAAACTTAAATTGAAAGGAACCTTTTAAACAGGATTAATACCATATGAATGTAGAAATTACACGTTTTGCGTCTTAGCATCACGATCAGCTCGAATTGTTTCCGTAAAGGGTGTCACAAATTAATAGGCCAATCCACCAACTAGAGATTTTTTGTGCGAAAATAATTCCTCATACCATTTTTAATTCCAGCGCGCAGCGCCCTATTTTCGAGATACAGGGTGTGCATAGAAAAAATTTTGAAGAGCCGATGGATATCACCAGCCCATTTCTTCGCTTGCATTTTTTTAACCTAAATTGCTAGTCTCACGATACGTATAGCATGATCACGCGTGCAACTGTTTTTAAAATTGTACACTCTGTATCTCGAAAACGGATCGCCGAAATTAAACATGGAATAAGGAATGTCCCATTTTTCCTTAGTTGGCGGATTAGTGTACTAAGACTACTAAGTAGATATCCTGTATTTAACATGTAACTATTTGTGACAAAACGAAAGTCTGCATCTTGTTCTTGACATCTTGACGTCTGATACGACGAAAATGAATCGGATGATAAGCACCCCATATTATATTCAATAATTTTTTTAGTAAAAACGATTTTTGATGATTTTATAATAAATTTTCTCCGGCTGAACTGCAGTAGTGCTCTGATGCCCTTAGACTAAACTACAATAAACATTAATTAGGTACAATATCAAATAACTGCCAGCATATTGCTGTTAACAATATTCTTCAAGTCGAAACAATTCGCATTTTGCACACACAAATGTACATAAAAATGACAGAACAATGCTATCTACAACATACACATAATCACAGCCTTAAAAGATGTATAGAAAGTGCTGAATTAGACTTTTACTTACAATGCTTGGATAGCTTTCTTTCTTCCTGACAAACAATACATTGTGACATAAATGTAAATTGCTCATCTGGCTTTGCATTGGTGGCTCAAAAATTATTATTTTAGCCAAATGCAGTACACGGAGAGTATGAGTGGGAGAGACTATCCAAAAGTCCCAAACTACTACCCTGATAATAATTACAGACAGCCCATTCAACAAGAGAATTGGCCTTCAGGTAAACGAAAAATTGGATGCTATGTACAGACCGAGATTCCAATGCAAGACAAATTATCAAGATTTTGAACCTTTGGGTTTGGTATATGGGTACTCCTCATCCCAGTCTGGCTAGTCTCATTCGAAAAAATTCGTGTAGCAAACTCAAAATATCTGTTTTCAAACCCGAAATTTTGAGTTGAAACATAAAATTCTGTGTTTAAACTCTAAATTTCGAGTTTGAAAGAATCAAACAAAAGTTACCTATTTGAGTGAGAAAAATCAAATTTGAGCACGAAATTTCAAATTTGAATTCGAAATATGGTAAATTAAAAATACGTATGGCTTACTACACTTTCATAAATACCAATTGGAATACATATTTGTAAATGTATTTGAATATCAAAATTATTTTGAGTTTTTTATGACAAGGTGTCCTACCATGAACTCCATCGATGGATATCTGAGAAACTGCTAGAAGGATTTTTTTTGAAATTGTGAAGGTGTGATACGGACCAAGGGGCTACCAAGCTAAAATATTTTCAAGCTCATCGTACTTCCGATTATACCGGAAGTCGATACCAACTTTCTTATTTTAAATGGAACTCCCTGTATATTATTGCATTTTTGGAAAGAGCATCTATTTTTAAGTTGAAAACATATAGCACACTCCATACTTAGGATTGACCATTTCCGAGATATTTTGATTTTTAAACAAAAATTGACAGATGCACTTGCCAGCAAAATTTAGTTTTCCCGGAAACAAGATTTATTTTTTTGTGCAAATTGGACATTTTTTGAACAAAACCTAATTGATCGAATTTGATATGAATATTTTCCAGTTTTTATACAGGATGGTCAAAAAAAAAATTGAATATGAAGTTCAGAAATTGGGGAAATCTCGAAATTTTTAAATGGAAACCCCCAATTTTTGTAACGTATTCGCATTCTGCACTAAAATTAAGTGTAACTTTGTTAAAGTTTCCCTGTACCAAAACCCAGTGGTTTTCATTTTATTTACGAATATACATTTCCCTTTTTTACGATGATGTTTCCATTTGTTTCGCACATTTTAGGTTGGCCGTAACAGGTAAGTAACAATCAGCATGACAACTGTCCCAGGTTTGCTGGCAGTCTGCATCTGTCAATTTTTGCTTAAAAATCAAAATATCTCGGAATCAATCTCGTCAATCCTAAGTATGGAGTGTGTTATATGTTTTCAACTTAAAAATAGATACTCTTTCCAAAAAAGCAATAATATACAGGGAGTTCCATTTAAAATAAGAAAGTATAACCGAAAGTACAATGGCCTTGAAATATTTTAGCTTGTCCCACAGTCCATATCACACCATCACAATTTCAAAAAAATTCTTCTAGCGGTTTCCCAGATATCCATCGATGGAGTTCATGGTGGGACACCCTATATATGATACCATCAGTTATTCACAATTTTTTGTTAATATATCAACAATTTGAAATATAAGAGGTTCTTTTCTTAGTATTCACAATTAATTAGACATATTGTACGTATATTTCATAACTCCATTGAAAAACGAGGTTATTTCACATTGGCTTGCACTGGAACCAGATCTATCTGAGGCTAAGCTAAGAGGGACCATTTTTAGATAGGACTATTAAATCTTCTTATTTTAGCTGACGAAACAAGATACGACCCTCAAAAGTATCCCCAGGACCCACTTCAACTGCAAAGTGGTACATTTTGTTACCTAAAACTGAACTTTCTGCTAAAATGTTTTTTTTTCAGAACAAGCCATGAAAGACCAGACAAACTATAAAGCTCCCCCTGTACAACATTCAAATACTCTGAAATCAGATGCTGGTAATGCAAAATTTTCTAATAAACTTTATTTTGTTACCTTTTTGTTGTTTTTAGTAAATCCCAAACACGTACAAGAAAAGTTAGCCCACGACCTGAAGCACTCTAAGGAAAACATGATACATGGTGTCGTGAATCGTGAGAAGATAAAAATTGGAAACCATATGCATCACGAAGAGTATGCAGATGTTGTTGCATATAAAGTAAGCGATTCGAACGACCTCCAGGATGGTATATCGCAGACACCAAGAGGAGCAGTTTTATCCGTCACCCTAGGTATAAAATCTAAAAAATATGTCAATCAACAGTGTTGATTTAAAATTGGAAACTATTCTATTTTCAGGTTTAATCATAACGTTCATCATGGCGATCATGATTGGGTGCAGACTGAAGATGGTCCGGAGGAGGGTCAGGAGAGGAAAATCATACGCCCATGATGCTGACTACTTAGTCAACGGAATGTATTTGTAATACACGAAAAATATCCATTTATAACAGAAAAACATATTGGTTTATATGCAGTGTTGTCTGTAAATGTCAAAATATGCAATTAGCGCCATTAAAAATGAAGATTGCAGTCCGGGGATTCACACATTCAAAAACGAAAGAGATTGAGCATATTGTTCAAGTTTTTATGTAAATACGACATGTTTTAGAGTGAAACGAAACATGATTTTTGTACCTTGTTATCAAACATTTGTGATAGAAGTTGAAATTATTTTTTTGTCATGTACGATGCTGTTTTTACATATGTATGTATATATAATTCTTGCAGATAGGTCAGTGTTTACAATTTTTTTTTAAATTAACTGAGAATAGTAAAACTATCTGGAGCTGTTAAGTGTAACTTTTTACTTTAAATTTGCATATGTTTGCAATATTTCAGTCAGTGGCATATAAACGTAACCTCAAGTGGAGCTAATATAAGGGAGATACCCTCGACCTCCATGACTGTTAATAGAACCCATCAGGGAACTACATTGTTAAGGGTACATACATTCCGTTCCATTGACGGTATTTAAATAAATATATAAAAAATACGTGATAGAACATCATAAATAAGTAATATATTTAAAAAAAAGAACTTAGTGATTCTAATCACAGGTCCAAATTTGGTGGGCGACTTTTTTAAGAATTTAACATCATTTTTCATTCATTTTTTGTACCATGTCTTTAAATTTTTATTAGTAAATGTTTCTATTAAATGAAATGGCCGTATTGTAGAAAATAAGTGGTTAATTCATTTTTTCTGAAATTGAACTAGGATAGGCAACTAACATTACGCATTGGAAAATTAAAAGTTGCCACTTTAAAATTTATTATGCAGCCAATTGTTTTTATAACAGCAGTGTATTTAAAGTTGCATACATTTTAATATTGGAATTTGATTTTTGCAGCAATAAATGCAACTGTTGTAAGTAACATACCTTTTTGTATTAGTGGCGCGCTATCTATTGAGCAAAATCAGCGTTTTGCTTGGAACGCTATCAATAACCGATGTGGAAAATCAGCAGGTGATGAAAATATTCTAAAATTGGGTAAATGTTATTTTCAAATAAGATTATTGGACCTCACAGTAGTATAACACACCACTAATTTATATAATAGTACCTAAACGATTACCTAAACTGTAACCCCTATATACCTACCTTATATGTGTTTTATAATTTAAACTAAATAAAACACATTTTTCAATGTCTTGCCAGTAGTATAATAAAGCTTGTGTTCTTTCATTTACAGTATTTTTGAAAATCAAATGATAATTATGTCTATAATAAACTGTTCTGTACTTTCATAGAATTTTATTGCTCCTTTCCATATCTGCTAAAATTTTAAAAGATAATTGCTACCCAACTGTTATGATCAAGTAGGCTGAGAACACGATCTTTTATTTAAAGTTAAAAGACCATAGTGCGGGCACCAACAACTTAGCTATGGCCAAAATGCAAGTACTTTATTTATGGTCACTTTAGTGTTACAATAGAAGCAACTCTATACAGGGTTTCCAACCGGGAACTGCGTCAATCGATATATAGGAAAGTATTGCTCCGAAAAATTTGAAAATTTGGCAGCATGGTAATGTCTCCAGCACTTCAGGTTATACCGGAAGTAGACACCAACTTCATTAATTTAAATGGGACACCCTATATTTATTACATTTTCATATTCTATGAGAAATTTGAGGGTCACTTTATTAAATATTCCCTATACCTAGGAGTTATAGAATTTGAGATATTAATTTTAAAGAAAAAATTTGACAGATGCAAGGGTCCGCAGAGATGATAGTAACTCTTTTCAGGAGCGTGATATCAAGTGGATTTTTGGTACCTGCAAAAAGGCATAAGTAACACTAAGTTTTGGTATACTAACAAATTAAAACATTTAATACTAGGTGTTTCATTTTTGCCGTTACATTTTGATAACTTCAAACAGCTATAACTTTGTTAACTTGGAAACCCTGTATTTTTTTACTCTGTCGTATGCAGACTTAAATTTCCTTTCAAGCTATATAAGCATTGTTAGGATTGCCTTTACTACTGAGGGTTGCTTTCACTGTACATTAAAAATAAAACATTCCCAACTGTAAAAATAAAGTATTTTTATTGAAAACTAAGTTTATAAAAACGACAAGTTGTCGGGGCGAGTGTTCGCTGGAGAGTCCCTCTTGGTGTGGAGTCGCTCGCAGAAGACCTGGTCCTTGGCGCCAATCTGCTGTCGACCTTTTCTTTGGAACTCTGTTGCGTCCCAGGTGGCGTTATGATGGCGCTATTTACCTCGCTCTTAAAAATGGGTCACTTATTGCAGCATGTGTACCTATCCTACTTTTAGAGATATTTGCAATTTTCCATTTTTTGGACAGTTTTTCTTGGATCAGACCTGTTGTCAAATTGGCCATGACCAGAAACACTTCAAAAACAATTGAAATAAATTGATATTTGTAACAAAGTAATTTCAAGAACATGTAGAGAATCTGCTTCTTTTTTCCATAAATAACAAACAAATTAAAATAATCCTCATAAGTATAATTTAAAGGATCGCCAGGAATTTTTATTTAAATTTTCAGCAAAAACTATTATAGACGTAACAATAATTTGACAACTAACTTGACAAATGTCAAGTTATTTCAATTGTTTTTGGAGTGTTTCTGGTCATGGCCAATTTGACAACAGGTCTAATACAAGAAAAACTATCCAAAAAATATAAAATTTTGCAAATATGTCTAAAAGTAGTAATGACAACCCTAACAATGCTTATATGGCTTGAAAGGAAATTTAAATCTGCACACGACAGAGTTAAAAAAATATAGGGTGTTCCATTTAAGTTAACAAAGTTATAGCTGTTTGAAGTTATTAAAAATTAAAATGTAACAGCAGAAATGAAACACCTAGTAATTAAATGTTTTAATTTATTGGTATACCATAATTTAGTGTTACTTATGACCCAAACGGGCAAACAGTATTGTATTGACTGTTGCTAGGCAGTTGCTAGGAAAACTGTACGATTTTTTTACCGTACGTAATAGGAATCTTACATTGATCGCAGACGGTGTGTTAAGTATTTACAGTAGTGGTCGTAGGTAAATTTGTTTTATAGTTTTTTTTTTAAACTTCAGAGAGGCAGGTGTAAGCGAGTTCATTAGGGAATTGACCTAAAATTTAATAGTAGCCCATATGAATAGAGCATATTTAACTATATACATACAAATGTATTTCAAATTTTATTCAGTTTTATAGTTTTTTGTTAAAAAAATTCATTTATGTTTTAAATGGTTTAAATACACACCAAAACAATATGCTCACACATGGTAGCTTAAACACATAAACATCATTCTTTTGAACAATAAACTTTTAAGGGTTGTCCATACAAAGCATTTTTTTTAGCTCAATTGCAATAATATTGGGAGGGGGGGCAATTTCCTAGTCCTCCGTCCTAGTCTACGTGAATTATTTCAAATTTTTCTGAGCCGTAAACTTTTTAGAGAAAATCGATGGACTCGTCAAAATTCGTGAAAATCTTTAAAAACTAACATTCCGATTTGAGGGCGGCATCGTACGCCTTTCAGCTTGTGATGATTGTAGTTTGTTTAACTGTAAGTCGAAAACCGGAAGTGCTACAGAGGAACTGACTTCAGTCTGACTTAGATTATACAAAAATTACTCAATTTTTTTTCAAATTTTCTGAAAGGGTCGTTATAGTATAGAGAGAATTTAATTAAATGTTTTTATTTGTAAATTAATTAGAATGTGTGTGTGTGCATATAGGCAACCATGAATACAATTATTTGTATATCTGGTTGCCTATATAATAAAGGAAACTAGTCAAATATAACGAGCGTTCAAATAAAAACGTGGTCGAAGTTGGCTCTGACACATTGGACGTAGGGCGTAGCTTATAGCGACCAACTTAACCTCATTTGTCAACGAGCTGTATAGCAGCTGTCCGTTTCAATAACGTTAATGACTATATAACTTTATTTTAAAGAATAATCGTGATAACAATAACAAACAATTAAAGGAGCTGCGGAAAGTGTCCCCCTCCTTGTTATAACAATAAATTAAAGCAGCTGCTGAAAGTGTCCCCCTCCTTGTTCCAAGCACTTTTCACACCTGTTCCTCAAAGAATTAAAGACATTTTCTAAGATGCTCGGGGTATTGTTAATTTCACGAATCTTGTCTATAAGTCGAGCCTGCAGATGGTTTAAATCAGGAATAGGCAGTTCAAAAATAGTGTTTTTAAGGTAAGGCCACAAAAAGAAATCACACGGCGTAATATCACATGACCTCGGTGGAAATTCATGTTCAGCATTGAGACTTATTAGTCGATTTTGGAAAACTTCCCTCAACATATTCATCGTCTCGCCTGCCGTATGTGCCCTTGCGCCATCTTGTTGAAAGTAAAAGTTTGTAATTTCGTTTTCTTCCAGCTGGTTAACAAAAGGAGCGATAATTTCTTCTCTATACCTTTGCGCAGTAAGAGTACCATTAAAAAAAATAGGTCCATAAATCCTCCTTCGATTGAGAGCACACCAAACTCCAATTTTTTGAGCGTGTAGAGGGCCCTCGACAAAAAAGTTATCTGGTTTTTCAGAAGACCACATTCTCATATTCTGTGAGTTTACGTAACCACTTAAATGAAACCAGGCTTCATCAGAAAAAAAGGTGATATTATGAAGTTCACCGTAGTTGTTTAAAAACCATTCACAAAATACAGCCCGTCGCGGAAAATCAACTTCATGAAGTTCTTGCTGACAAGTTAAACGATAGGAGAACAAACGCAAATCTTTTTTTAACACTGTGTGGCAGGTACCGACTGATACTCCCACCATTTGTGATAAAACACGTACAGAAGTTCTTGGCGCATTTTCCATTATTTGTTGGACATTTTCTTTTAATTCTTCAGTCCGCTTTTTAGGTCGGCCGCTTCCTTCTTTTCTTGTTACACTGCCCGTTTCACGAAAAACATTAACACAACGCTGAACTGCACTTTGAAAAATTTTGTACTCAACAACGCCGGGAAATTGATTTTGAAATTCTATGAAACATTCCTCAATAGAATACTTCCATATTCCATCAATCTTGCGTCCATTTCTATAGTAGGACTCTATGATAAACACTTTCTGTTCTTGAGAAAACACCATTTTAAACGCTTTTTAAAACGAAAATATTCAAATTGATAGCGGCGATATAGCGCTTTGACAGATGACGTTTAAGTTCATTCGCTATACGCTAAGCCCTACGTCCAAATTTTCAGAACCAACTTGACCACGTTTTTATTTGAACGCTCGTTATATACACTTGATTGATTACTGCTATTGGTAAATATTAACACGATACAAACCAAAAAATTTGATTTTCGCTTCACACTGGTTCATCTCACTTCCGTTTTAAGGACAAATAAATTAAAAGAATAAGAGTATACAATTTTATTAAATATGACACTTTTAATTAGTAAGTAGTAAATACATAACAAATAACTTACGAATTACATTAAATTTCTTTGGATGACGTGATATAATAAATGATATGTAACAAACTGTAACAAACAAAATAATACAACTAAGATATAAATTGTTTTTTTTTTTTTCTAAAACAATCCACTCAAAAACTTACTAGTACAATATAACAGTTATATCTAGAAAAAATCACTAACTTATTCAGGTATGTCAGTAATAGATATTTTTCTATATCAGATCCGTACCTCCGCAAAGGCAAAGAACACTTAGAATATTAAAATTAAATACAGCTCACTACTATACAAATCCTAAAGGACTATCTCTCACTCAGTTTCTCCCAAAGATATATACAAATGCGGCAGAATACAAAAATAATTTTGTACTACCATTCTGGAGTGCCAGCTCAATAGCTCGAAAAATATTCTGAACAACGTTTCTCTAGAAATACAGACGGCGACACAGGTTTCCAAAATTCAACCCCGGATTAGTACATCAATATCGACATCTGAATCCCTTCAATGTAGCGTCATCTTTAGCTAAAGGTTAAAAACAGGCAAATTTAGGCACCGTAATGCTTATACCGAACTGGTGTTAGAGCATTGAGCCAGCATGTGGCACTGCTGTTCCAACCTCTGCACGCTGGCGATGAGGTAGGAGTTTTCGACGTAGAGATCTTTGACTAGTAGATCCGTCCTTTCTAATTTGTCCAGTTGATCGTTGCTGATGCGTATTTGCTGGTCCAACTTCTCCTGGAGGTATTTCAGTTTTGTGTGGAGGTCGGCGCGTTCTCCCCTGAACTGCTGCCAATAATCTGAAAGGGAAAGCAAATCAGACACAAATTTACTTTATTTACAATTTATACAATAATGATTCAATATATAGGTTAGTAGCAAACAGACAATATTGCCCAGGATTAATAATATACAGGGTGATTCACAACTTATCCAAAAAAATTTTGGGATAGATGCGTCAAGAAGAATGGAGTCAATATTGCAAAAACTTTTTGTAAAAACCATATAGTTTCTGAGAAAAATTATTGAAGCTGTAGTATTTTAAAGCTTTACATAGCTGGGCTTCTGTAGTTTCTAGCATCATTCGTGTTGTGCACTGTACGCAATTCGTTCTCTCTCTCCACGTGGCACCAGGCAATTGCGAATACTGAAATCCAATTTTAGTAGATATTACATTACTTTTCCAAGTGTCAAAAATAGGTTACATGTTATAGCAACAGAGTTGATGGACATTGTTTTAATTTATGGCGAAGCAAGACAACATTTGTGTCATGGTGAAGCAAGGCAACATTTGTGTTAGTTTGTAGAAAGACGGGTCCAAATGTGTTTACATGTCGGTGGACAAAATTTTGAACGGTTGTTGTAAAATCAGGTATGTCAAATTATTTTATTAAGTAAAACCACAAATTAATTTCATTAATTAATAACAATCGTATCAAAAGTAGTTGAATTTGCCGATATAAAATAGGTGTTATAATATAAAATTCTATTTATTTCCTTCCTTGTGAAATTATTTCAAGTTTTTGTCCGTTTTTTATTACACTTCGCCTTGTGTAAGGTTAGGTTTTAGTGGACTGCTGTCCAGAAGTGTATTTTTAAATCATTTTCGAACTGCCCTTTTTGATTTGATTGATAAGTTCTGAATCACCCCGTATACTGGAGGTTTCCGAAATAATGCATTCCTTCAATGTGATAATAGAAGATATGAAAATAAACAAATTATATTAAGCAAACTGTACTCTAAAGTATATTATGTTCCAGAAAATTAACACAAAATTATTAAGCAAAATCTAGTCCAACCCTGCATCATGCCACTTAATCAACTGATAAACAATTACCACGAGTAATTTTTGTCCAGAATCTTATAATTTTTTTAACTGAAAAATAAAATTTAAATTAAAATAATTACAGCTATTAAAAAAAGGTGTATTATTGTGTAAATCTTTAGCAGGATTTCATGCAATAACTACTTGTAAACATTACGATAGACCTTAATATACACTGTTCCAAAAAATTAATGCAATTCTTCTGAAACATTTTAAGTTGGGTTTGGTGCTATGGGCTGGCCAACACAAGTCCAGACCTTAATTCCATTGAATATGTCTGGGATATGATTGAAAGACAATTAAGAGATCATCTTTTTGAACATGAACTATGGATGCGGAGGTGTAATCGGAAGCAGAAGTGAAAATAGCCGACATGAAATTAATTGATAGTAATCCAGTGTCGGAAGTATCCAATAAAAAAATCTGCAGTGCACAGGTTTTAAATTTGACTTTGAATAAATGATAAATGAAGGTTATATTGAAACAAAGCATTTTTTTGTGAAACTAAATAATTAGGAATACATAATTTTCGTATTTACAAAATAAATGCGAAATTATGGGAAAAATGCGAATAAATGCAAAATATGGAAATAAAAGCGAAGCGATGCGCTTCTGGTAATATCTTGAATAAATTAGTACTTTACTTGAAATCTAATGAAACGAACGAGGCCTACCAACACATTAATGTACACTATTTTGTCCCTCTTTTGCCACACAGTCAAAAATTCATTTTCTTTAAATATCCCTCAAAATGAACTTATTGATAGATATAGTCGCTTTCATCAACAACTCTTAGCCACAGCAGATAAAACAGATACTCTACGATCTTCTTCAGGTTTTATGGGCAACTAAATACATTTATCTAAATTTTTACAAAAGCGGCAATTCAAAGTTTATGGGGTCCTGTAAATAGTGTTGATGCAGGGCGATTTTTCAGCACCTACAACATTGTCATTGCGCTCAGAAGGAGCAGGCTGTTGGAAGAAAATGTACAAATGACAGCAATGTTGGCTTTCAACTAACAATAAGACTATCTGGCGTTGCCAGACGTCTCGATTTTTAGCCCAAAATTAAATTTCCCACGCAGGACAGTCTCAGTCCCGCTTTTCGGTGATTACTCGACGGCACGACGATTGGTATAGTACAGTAACATATTTTCATTAAAATATATTTTCTATAGTAATTTTGGCTATCTATCGCCATGTAAACTTAATTTGGAACTCAAATAAAAGGATAAGTAGTTAAAAACTATCGATGTTGAAAGTTTTTTTAGTAGTTTCGACAAAAGAATCCCACTTTTTTACTCAAAAGGTTTCAAAATCCCGCTTTGCTTGAAAAAAATCTGGCAATGCTGTCTGATACATAAAATAAACTTAAGTTAAATTTACAAATGTTGCTCCAATGTTTCTTATAAAGTGAGAGTTTCTTTTATTTTAAAACTTCGTTATTCTGCTGCTAACTTGAAGATTTGTTTTTGGTTTTAGCGAATAAATGTGAAATTTTGATTTTGGATTTTTGTTTTTGAGAAATTTGATTGTTTTTTCTTGCGAAAATTACGTATCCCTATAAATAATATAATTTCGATACATTAAATTCTGCAGGTTAACTCGCAATCCCACACTTGGTCTTGAAAAGCGGTAATTTGCCAGAAAAGGAAAAAATTTTTCGGTGGGAGGTACCCAAGTATATCCGATGGTGGAGATAGAGGCAACTGTCAGTGAAAACATCAAAACTAATTTTGTCCTTTGAGGCGTTTTCCCTACCGCCCGACTGTTCGGGTCACGGTGGGTCGTTATTTTGCTTTCAGAGATGATATTATTGCGGAAAAGCTTAATTTGAACATTACAAAATTGATATATTATACCATATCAGTAGAAAACAATTATTACTGGGAGTTTCCAAAAAATAATCTAATGACAGGCATGGAAGACCTGTGGCCTAAGTGCCGCAGGCCTGAGCGAAGGTCAATGCTGACTTGCAGCTTTCTAGTGACGTTATAAAGTGTAAATTTATTATTTACAATGTAAATTACTAAAATTACTTTAGTGGTGGTTAATTTTTTGAAGCAGTGTAACTTAAAAGTAAATAAACACAATCAAGAAGAAGAAGAGCATAGAGGAACTACTTACGTTGCAATGTCTGCTCGTTGCAGTAATGCTGCTGCTTGATGCACACCTGCAGATGCCTGACCCTTTGTTCCAGATAATTCTTCCTGCCGTTAAGGTTATGGAACGAGCTTAACGGCAGGAGAATCGTCTTTTCACTGTTGCCCTTCTGGAAGTTTTGGAAACTATTCCAATCGGGCTGCGGCGCAACGTTCACATTCTCAGTCTTTTTAACCTCCTTCTCCTGATTATTCTTCTTATACATGTTTTTGTCATGTTTACGGGTCCTCTTCGGCCGGCAAGGCGTCTTCTCCAGACCCGTAGAACTTGACGAGGTAGACGGGGCGTTGGGTTGAGTCTTCTTGTTATTTGTGAAGTTCCAATTCAACGGCAGTGAATTGGAGTTCGCGGATATCTCTGAACACTCGGATTTGGTAGCGGGGATGCTCTGCTGTTCCCAGGTCAGACTCTGATTGACGTAGTCCACATTGTTTGGCGGTGGAGAAGTTACAGAGGCTGGGGGTAGCATTTCTTCAGAGAACCGGCTGGTGTTTTCTATAACGTAGCTCGAGAAGTTTCGCATTTTATTGAGGATTCGTCTCTCTTCGGATTCGAAATTGACCTGAATCGCAGCCTCGGTGACTTGCTGTTGCCTCATGGCAAGCTCCGTTAGTTTGTCTTTGAGGATGGAGATTTCTTCGTCTCTTTTGAAAATCTCGTTTTCGCTGTACGCCTTGTAGTCCTCGAATTCTTGTTCTAAATCAGTGAACTGTTTCTCTAAGTTGTAAGTTTCTTCTATTGTCGGTAACCTCGTGTCAACAATGTCCTGATTTGCATACTGTTCTTCATACTCCCTCATCTTAATTATCAGGTCCGTTAATTTCTCGGTATTCACCTTTTGTTCGGCTTCGAACATTTGTCGTTCCTCGTCCACTTTGTTCTGCCAGTAGTCCTCGCACTTTTCATACTCGTTCCGTAAAAGTTCCACGCAATTTTCCAACTCACTACACTTGGCACACAATTCTTTATTTTCCTTTTCCAATTTAATCACCTTTTCCTCGAACGAGTCGACAAATTCAGAGTCAGTCTGCAAGCTAGCGTCAGTCAATGATTTCTCGCACTTAAAAGTGTCGTTCACTTCGTTCTCTCCCAATAGAGTATGTTCCAGCTTCTGGCTAACATTCCGAAGGTTGTCGCAATTTACGCAGTCCCTTTCTATCATCTTGCCCATTTCTGCTTTCACCTCGTTAATTATCTGTTCCAGCTGTCTCACTCTGTCGGCCAGATGACAAGTGTCTGACTTTGAATCCTTGTCGGGATCCTGGTAACAAAAAACATGTTCTAATATAAATGTACACAGATTTTCACATATTACAAATTTCATCGCTAATGTTTGGGAGTTGTTGGAAGATATCTTCCACTGTTCAAAAACTAAAGGAATTACCCCACAGAGGTATTTCACGTATTAAAAATTTTGTAACAAAATTAATATTGAAATGGGAAATGCGCAATCACATGCAATAATGTGTTAATTTAATTTGATTAACGTTGTTAGACGTCTATTTTTACTTGATATTTGTTGAATGAATATTATGTAAGTAATAAGGTATATCTGGACAAAACCAAAGAAAAACCATGTGATGTAGTGCCTGAATTTAAAACATTTTGAAAATTTTTAAATACAGTGTTCTGATTCTAATAGTCTAGTTAATTCAGTATGAATTCTTATTGAAGACTAATATTAATTAAATATTTTATAAATAATTTCCTCAATTTTTAAACATTTAAAATGATTTCATCAAGGTTGGAATAATCGTTGTTTTATATTCAATCACCCTTGAAAAGGTAATTCCACAAATGTTTTGTTCTAATAATATAATTTTCCAACAAACAAAAATCGTTTGTTTCGATTAATATAATTAAAATACAAAATCTTATGCTCAAATGAGGTCATATAGAGCAACAGAATATGAAGAAATTTCTATCTACAAATTAAGAAATAATCAAAAATCAACAACAAATTGTGAAAACAAAGATTATTAAAAATAGTAATTTCTTTTTTTCTAAACAAAGAAAAATTACTTACATTATTAACCAACAAATAATATACTTATTATTTACCTTTAATGTACCTAATTACAGGTTTCAATTATTTCACTTTAGAAAATAGTTTTTCTCCAGTGAGCTATTTATTGCCAAACAATTGCATGCCATATTGGATATATTCATTTGTTTGTAACAGATTACTTTGCAAAATACTATTATCTTTTTTTTGTATGTACTTGTGGTTTTATTTAAATATCTCAACAATTTTATTTATTTTAATTTTATATTTGTTTTAAATTGAATTGGATTGAGATTAGGAGTGGCATTTTAGTATTATACTGACATAACTGAGAAAGTATACAGGGTGTTTCTAAATAAGTGTGAAATATTTTAGGGGCTGGTTGCGAAGTTATTTTGTAAAAAAAAGTTTATATAAACGTACATCGAAATATGCTTTGTCTCCGAGGTACAAAATGTTTAAATTTAAATTTTTTATTTATTTTTATTAAAAAGTTTTACAGATATTAACCCAAAATTTGATGGTTGTATTTAATTTAGAAAGATTGACAGCAACCTACTAGATAGTGTATCAATAGAAATTAAAAATTCACAACTTGCAATAAAATATGTTTTATTTTTTTCCTCAAAAACGGTGCACCCTACTAAAAAAATTGGAGAGACCGCCAAGTCAGTGGCGTACCATTTTTTTAAATTACAATTTATGACATTCTCGCACGAACGCCACTGGTACAAGTAGAAATATTCGGATCACACCAAAAAATGCACATTTATCCCCCTAAAGCGTTTTCCAAATTTTGAGTTCATGTCTTTAAAATTCTTTGAAATAATTCATAAAAATATATAAAAAATTAAAATTTAAACACTGTATCTCGGGAATGAAACATATTTCGACGTACGCTTATATGAACTTTTTTTCACAAAATAACTTCGGCAACCACCCCCTAAAATATTTCGAACTTATTTACAAACACCCTGTATAGAAGTGATGGATGTATCTTATGAAATTTGAAATATGTACTTGTTAAAATTTTTTTAATCACTTAATTTGTTAATCTCAGCACCAATGACCTCTGACATTGTCCCAGATTATGTGAACAACATAATATCAATCCGCCTGATGTGATATGACAACAGGACGCTAGGTGGGCAAAAATGACCGAACATTTATTTTAGTATTCAGTTTATCATTTTATGAGAAGGTGTTTGTGCGGTGTTGTGTTTTATTAAGTTTAATTTTATAGTAGAATTTTAATTTGTTTATGTTCCGGGACAGTACGGTGTGTTTGTGTGTGACATTAGGAAAAAACAGTTGAAAACAGGTTTTCCGAAATTCTCAGACTTAATATTTCTTCAACATGAACATATTTAAATTATTTTGCAGAATTAATCAAATTTATTCAACAATATACAAACATCATTGATGTTATGCAAATTTACAGCCAAAGTGTAAAAATGTTTGTAAATTGTCACATAAATTTGATTCATTGTACAAAACAAATTCGGATATGTTCATTTTACACAAAATGTACAAAAAAGAACACTAAGATTTATAAGATAAAATACTCATAAAGAACATAATGAAAATCCAAAAGAAAAAAATCTAGGCAAAACTTCTAGCAATATCTGTTAAACATGCAGGCCAGCTAACTTTCAAAAACTAAACAGAGCAAGTGGGAAGCTTCTCCATGAAAAATAAAACAAAAAAAAATTAGATCAAACATTTATTCTTTCAGTTAAAGATACATAAAAAATACAAAGGGAAAAACATAAAAACGAACCATGGAGAAGCTTCGGAATGCCAGCACCAGAGCAGTGAATAAATAAATAAATAATCACTTACAAAAATAATACTGTTAGGTACATCACAAGTATTCATTAAATGCTAAATTCCTTAGCTTCTCCAGTTTATATAAATTATGGTAAACTTTCAATGAAAACAGCTCTTAGTGCGACCATTCCTCATACACTTTAAAAAATCAACAAGAGGTAAAACAAAGATAATAAAATATTGCCCAACACATCGATAGTTATCTAATCTAACAACAATTAATCAGTTAATTTATAAAAAAATTTAGATTGTACTCTATAAAAATGTGGAGAGAGACTGAGAAATGTGTTCAGAACACTTAAAATTGAGAGATCAAATCAACACAATAAATTTTATAAAATACACAAACTAAAATAAATAAATAATGCAGTTAACATATATACCACTTCAAATGTCCATGAATCAACTAGCCGTTACGCTTTCTAGACCTAGTACCAACAGAGATATGATTAAAAAATTTTCAAATTCCTGAAAAATATATCAGTATATTGTGAACACATTTTTCAGACAAGAAATAAAAACACAAAACCAAGCTACGGAGAAGCCTACTTCTACTCACTCCTTAACTCACCTTGGGCTCACTCGTAGGCACTGGGATGTTGTTTTGGGTGAGGATCTGCTCAAGGAAAGCTATCTTGGCCTGTAAACGGGTGATCTCTTCATTCTCGTTGGTAGATATCGAGAGGGACGAATCGTAGCACTCGACTTCTGTGTCGAAACCGCTCTCGCTGGACGTGAAGGGCACTTCGATGTTTTCACACTTCGACTTGTGGAACTTCCTGACTTTGCCCAACCTGGGGCTACCATCAGCTGAAAAAAAAAAAACATCGATTACTATATTATTCCGTAAGACATTTGTTTTAATAGTAAGTTTTTTTCTATATTTTCAATAGTTTATCGAGAAGTATATTGAGTGTTCATCTTCAGTTATAGCCTTATTTTTGGTTAGAGAAGAAAATATGTATGAGAATACCAATGAGATGAAAAAAGGTTCATCCAGAGCCGGCACTACCTGCGTGCAGTGGCAGCAAAGGTGACAAGGTCATGTCGAAAAAGTTTTTGGTGGTCAATGGTCATCTCGTGAATATGACTATGCGTGCGTGCGAAAGCACCATTCTGATTATCAAGGCACAGCCTCTAGATAGGTATTTATAAAGGAAAACAATAAGAAACAGTTTTCATATGGTTAAATGTGAGCATAGGCTATTTTTGTTCACGGTGATAACAGAATTTATTCTTAAAAATGAAGCATGTGTTTGGCAATCCACAAAATAGGATGCTTTTCGTATTATCGTAACAAATGCGCTTGATTTCGTGTCATGCACTCACACTGGCCAGAGACTTCCGCTCTGGTTATTGCACCACTAGCACAACGACGTTCGAACACTTTTGGGAGTGGTTCTGCGAACTCTCGGTGACTACTATTCGGTCGCGAGGGTCATTGATGGTTGCTCCGTCAACAGCATCAGACTGTCAACTGCTGCGGAGTGGTTTGCGAGTTTGTGGACGGTTTCGGCAGGTAAATTTGAAACAAATGAAAATTTTGATTTCTGTTCAGCATCTCCTGCTTCGAGATATGGTCGGCTCGAGTATCAATAACTACTTTTAGCAGGGTTTTCTGCACGTAGGGGTTTTGCATAGATCAGATTCAACAGTTGAGTGAAATTCGAAGGCAAATTTGTAAACAGAACAATCAGCCAAAGTAAATAATCGAAGTAAATTATCAATTAAAATGGTAAATAGGAGAAATAATTTATAAAGTTTTAAAAAATTGGGTGCGGACTCTTAATAGACATCCAAATATAGACCGAAAGAGTTCCCACCTCTCAGGAGGCTTCATCCCCTTTTGCTTCAGAAACCACCCCTTTCCGTGAACTGGTGACCATTTTCTGATTTTTCTCAAAAACTGTTATTTTGACGAGAAAAATAAATAGGACCTAAAATATTCAGTATAAAATTCTACATTCATTTGTTCCCTATACATTTTTTCCTATATCAAGTCCTAAACTCACAAATGAAGTTTGAAATAGGTTAATGCTGGTAAAGATAAGACAAATTCCTTAAAATTACGATGGCTTTTGAGAAAAATTAATATGGGTGATTAAAACTAAACAATGGATTTTGGACTACATAACAAAATAATATAACATAACAAAATAAAGCTTTAATAAATACTAGAAAGGACTTAGACGATGCATTGCATATATTTAACAATCCATCATCGATCAAACCAGACATTGCACGAGCTGGAGAGAAAATCACACTAGCTTTATACAAGGCACCTCAAACTGTCACATAATTAAATCAATTTAGATTCATTTAATTTAACAAATTTGTTGGTCAATCTATTCAAGCAGTGATATTATCAAGACTACCACCTACACGTGCTGCTTTAGAACAACATTCGTATCGTATTTTTCAACAAATTCATTCATTTGTGGCGTGGAGAAAATTTGAAGCCTAATGAATGGGGATGGAAAACAATTAGCCAAATTTTGGTGCCAATTCCTACAATTATTGAGATACCAGCTCCTACTTCCATTCTTCAATTAATATCATGCCGTTGTAAAAAGGGTTGCGGAAAACGATGCGGTCGTGCTAAGGTTGAATTGAAGTGTTCAACAATGTACGCCAATTGTCATAGTCAAGGATGTCTTAATTCAGTGGTAGACGAAGAATTAAATGAAGATAATTCAATTAATAAATAAACAGCAGTTAGTTTTTAGTGGATTAGGCCTCCAGGGGAAACCACTTACAAAAAAACGCGCCGGGAGCTCTACCACAGCGGTGGTGTGGAGACGGGCTCGAATATAAAAGTACCTAGTAATAATAAAATTTTCTGTAATCATATCTTTTTGTCCTTATAGCCAGGTTTGTGTAGAAAAATCTGCTTTGCATGCAACATTTTTCTATGCCAATGTACTTCAAGATATTTGTCACTTTACTCGTTTTGCCTAACTTTAGCGAAATATCCTAATTTTTCAGACCATATTTGTGAGTAGAGTTAACGATAGAAAAGAGTCTATAGGACATAAATGATGTAGAATCTTATGTCGAATATTTTAGGTCCTATTCATTTTCCTCGTCAAAGCAGCAGTTTTTGAGAAAAATGAAAAAAACTGACGCGAGGTCAGATTAGAGGGTAGTTTTTGAAGCAAATGGGGGATGAAGCAGGTGAGAACTCTGTTGATCTGTATTTGCATGTATGTAAGGAGTTCGCACCCAAATTTTGAAAACTTTATAAATTATTTCTCCTAAAAAATTAATTTACTTCGACTAAAAGGAAGACCTACCAACACGAGGCGAACTACCCAATATAAAGTATCTATAGTAGTTGGTGCTATGAGAGAATTGTTTGATAACCCCAACTATCTCCCTGCAGAAGGCAATACCTGTAGGTTATTAGGATTTCGACTTAAATGACGGTCTTATCCAAAATAGAGCAAAAGTAAATAAACAACAGTTTGCATACAGTTATCTCACTGCTATACTAGTAGTAACGTGTATACAGGTTTGTAGCAAACAAATGTGGTGCGTAAAAGTGCATTTTTTTAAAATGGACACCATACATGTATTTATTCCAACTGAATGTTCCCAAGTATTTTTTAGTTATTAATAATTAAAATTTCAGTATCATAAACTAGTTTTTATAAAATTTCAGAATAAAAGTATTTTATTCAGTTCCCAAAATTATTTTCAAATCATCAACATTTTTTAATTAATTTTTAATAAATATTTTTTGTAATTGTAAACAACCTGGAAGGTTTTTCAAAATTTGTAACATGAGTCAAAGACATTTCGAGACAATGTGGAATAAGAAAGGAGAATCGCTTCTTCAAATATGTAAAATAAGTTGTCAATAAGTTGTGGCGAATACGCATATATATATTACTTCATAGGCTTAGATTTTCTAGTTAAGTTTTTTAAAATCTGGTGCCCTCAAATGTGCTATTCAATATTTTTAAATTGCATCGTTTCTTTTTGCAATTTCTAAACTATACTTTTTCTTCTAGATTTTTTTTCATATTCCATATTTTCAATACAATCAAGTCTTTCTTTTATGTTGTCTTATGACAACAAGGTGCAGACCTTGAGATGAATTTTGGGACAATTCCACATATTGTTATTGTACATTCATGAGTATTCTACATTTTTAGTTCAATAACTTTTTATTATAATTACAATTTCCCTTTACAAGATTCTTGGAGTACCAAAAAGTTGTAACAAAGTCATGGATCACTGCTGTTTACAAACTAAAGACACTATTACCGGTTTTTATTTTTTAAGAGTTATATTGACTTTACCACTATTCCCGACAAAAAAAAAACACCTTGTATATTTCGGTAACTCTACAACTTTACCCGATTGTCCTTATTGGGAAACTTAGCATCAAGGTCCGCGTTATATCATGTTTATATTTCGAGTGGGTTATGTTATGTATCGCAAATATGAACACAAATACTTACATAGAAAAATATGCGCAAAATTCGACCCAATTCCGTCGTAAACATTTTGTTCCGCTCTTATTGTGAAATAATCAATATGCTATTATATGGATTGAAAAGAGGGTACCAGGTTGTATCTATGCGAAAAAGGAACTCATCTACCGAGTGTTGAGAAAATTAAATATTCATCAAGCGGGATGAGATCATCCTCTCTCGAAAGTGCGATGGAATTAATTTGCCTCACAAATGGAAGGTAATAAATCTTCTTTTTCATTTTACCATGTTATGTTTTCGTAATTAAAAAGTACAGTTTTACGGTTTTGCTAATTACCTGAACTTGTCTTATACCAGTTTATTACCAATTAGTAAAAAACAGTCTCCATCAAAATTTCAATTTTGATTAATGATATGGCCTACCATGCGACAGTTGGTAGTATTTTTTAATGAATGCAAAAAAACAACAATCATGACGAATATTCTATAATCAACACAAAAAATGTTTCATCCACAGTTAATAGGCCCCAATAATGCTCATGAAGAGATAGATATAGGGCGTTAAATTACTTCTATAAAATGGTTTTTGTATGATCTTAAACAAAAATAAAATATATTAAATTTTGCCTGATCTTGTGTGCTAAATCCATTGACTATCAGGACAGTTTTTTTGTGACAGCCATTTCTCAAGGATTTTTATATAAATTTACTAATAAATGCCAACAGAACGGAAAAAGGAATACCTACATTAAGTATTTTGCTTGAAACACAAAATGTTGGGACAAAAATAAAGATTAATAACAAAAAAAGTCTAAAAAATAAACAAATCTACTTTTCGATCAATTATTTTCATTCAAATACTTCTACATTTCGAAGTCCATACATTTCGTTTTGACTAATTTTAAATTCTACTTACATAAATAAGCTTTCGAAGAAATCGAGAAGGCTAGTAAAAACAAAAATGCACCCCAATATTTACCCACTGAACCAAATAAATACTTGACTACCGGAATCGAAAAAATGTCAGTCACTAAAAATAAACAAATTGCAGAAATCGCATGGCACGGCCAGAAATAATACACACACATATGCGAAGAGTTACAACTCTACTGTCTAAGAATTCAGCGAATCCCATTTACCATCCCGGCAATTAACGCCAAGGTGTAAATTAGCTGGCTAGAAAATCTCGATTGCCCGCAAAAGGCGGCCTGTGTGTGCGTTGAGTTTTGAATAAATTAGTGTACCACACCAAGCTATTATGTTATGTCGGGAGAACAGAGTAGCATTAGTGCGAGGTCATATGTAAGCGTTGTCGTTAAAATCAGAAGTAGCAATAGTAAAAGTAAAAAACAAGAAATACGTATTTATTCA